CCTTACGCAACATCCATCGTTGCCGTGTTATCTACAAAGCTGTGAACAAGTGAATCGCTTTAAATAATTTCAAGTGGATTTTTGGTCTTGCATGACGCTAAATTTTTTAAAAAAAAATTCCCTCCTCTATTCTCATCAGTGAGCAGCGGGTTTCTGCTCGCTTCAAAATTGTTTTCATTTTTAGAAGTGGTGCCCATAAACACGAAAATTTTAAGCATTTCAGGATTCCCTATGCTCAGCTGTACTGCAGCGACCACAAAGCCTCCGTTCGCATAAGCATTCTGTAGGCAAAGCTCGAGATGCACACAAAGATACACGCATATCTACAGTAAGCATCGCATAAAAAACGCATGCTGCATATGACCGCCCACTTTTTGAGCCCTTCCAGCTTTTTCGATATTTGTTTGAATTTTTACCATAAAATCATTTTAACAAAAGGGGAAACACGGCTGCTATTACGCGCAAATTCGAACTCAGCCGATAAAAAAACGAAAAATTTCGGACAACAACGCAGTACTCAGCGTGAGAAGAGCTCAGCAAAAAGATGAGCGAACGGATGACATCCTGATTTAGTGGTAAATGATGACATTTAGAGATCGTCATCACAGGAACACTTCGTTCAATGGTTCAAACAATGTATTTTTCCTGGGTGGATAATCTTTATCGATTCCAGAATCGAACTAACCTAGAATCTTTTAGTGACCAGGAAAGGATTGCGCACGTGATAATACTCTTGCCAATCTGAACTCCCACTCTTCCTTTTCCAGCTTCTTTCCTTTCAATTTGTCTCTTTCCTTCCCGGGATTCACGCCAGTTCCCCTCCGTCTCCCAAAAATAACTATATCAACGTATACTAGGGGACTGCAGCATGGGTGTTTGAGAATTACTGTAGACGTAGTGTTGGTGAATGCGTAAACACACGAAGAAAGCAGCCAAACTATGATAGTTCGATCCAAAGGTATCAAAATTCTAGGTTTGTCATCAATGCCTACATTTTTCTTTATTTTGGTGCTTGAAAACAGGAGAGAATAAAGTCGTACAGCCAACTTCGGAGCATCGATAGCGTGTTATAAACTGGCATAACAACGCCCTTGCTAGCAAAATGAATAATGTGTCTCACACTGGATTTATAAAGTTATCGACTGTGAGTCCTCTGGATCACAGATTGAAAATTGTTCGGAAGCCAGTTTTGGGTTATCTGCTCTTCACTGTTTGAGGAAACTAACTGTGCTACAGCCCCAGCTTCGTACCTTTAGTTTCCAAATTGTGGCTGGGATTTTCGCAGGTATTGTAGGCAGCTAAAACAAAAGCACGTGTGAGTTGA